ATGCATGCCACTAGTTTCTCCATACAGGAGGCGTCTTGAAGCTGTCATTGACAACAAAGGCTTTTGTACAAAGTATTAGATAAATTTCAGTAAGTGTGTTTACTGTGTTATTTACTGAGAAAAATGGTGACGTGTTCAATACTTATTTTACCCGCTGTATGTCTGGAACAATACAGATCAACATTTATCTTATCAGCTTGTCTTCTGATGATACTGTGTTGAAGGATCAGAGGATCTGTGTTCAACCCCACCTAGGCTGCATTGTGGAGCACAGATCCACTGAGAAACTTGTTTCAGCAACATTTAATTTAAAAACTGTACTTTTGAGGTCAAACAAATGTTCATAATTAATTTAAATAAACTACAAGTTAAAAAGGACGTGGACATTTCTCTTTTTTTTGTATCAAAAAAATATTGACACTAAAGTATTGAACCGAACTGAATCGTGAATTTTCTGTATCGTTGCACCTCTACTGTTAATTGTTCATAATTTTGTCATTTTTGTATCACCAGGCTGAAATTGTGATTTGTTTGTCTTGTACAGATACCTTTATCAGCCCTCATCAGTTAAGGAGACAGCTGACCTGACTGCAGATCTGCAGGTGTTTACAGTGATCTTGAAGATATAATAAACTTTATCAGTCACCAGCTGAGGGGATCGGCCCGTCTCCATGGTTACTGAATGATACACAAGGAAAACCACAAGTCACAAGAAAACCCTGTAAAATAACAGAGCTGAAAATGTCTCTCGGCTTCCGTACAGAACCTATACCAACTTATGAAACACTTTTGTCTAAATTGCTAATAAAGGTTAAATATTTGATCATTTAGTTAGTATTACATTGTGTACACACTAAAAAGAAGCTTCCTGTTGATTTTTTCAATTCCATCTTCAACGTAGACATTTTTAATGTGTTCACAAATTGACAGAAGTTGTCTAGTGTGACAGGACCTTAACTGGTTCTCCTTAAATTACTCAAGAGATGCTTCAACAGTGTGTTTTGAGAGAATTTATATTTTTTGTTTCATAGCCTAGACCAGGAGCCAGTGTGGTGGCCCACAGTTTGTTCTTTTGGCCCATGCACCTGGAGAACGTTTGACGTGCTCGGACAGCAAAGGCTCATGGGACATTTCAGAAATTGATTACTAACTAATAACCAGGGCAACTATTGGTGGGCCAAACCAAATGGCTTGGTGGGCCAATTTTGGCCCATGGGCCCCTCTTTGGGCACCTCTGGCCTAGACATAATCAGCCACAGAGCCAGTTTTCTCACTGTACACTAGTTCTGTTGGACACTGGAGGGGTTTAGGGTGCTACAGTACCTCTGTGAGTGACAACAAATACTGTGACATCACTAAAAACAAAAGAAGGGTTAACCTCAGTAGACAGGTGCGTAGACGTCTGACTAACATCAACCTCCTACTAAAAACAATCAGTTTTCTGCCCTGAAGCTCAGCTCTAAGCATCAAATCCCACAGCGTTGTTCAGGTAAGTGTTTTATTTACACAACCACATGTTGATATATCCATTTAATTTCCAGATGAAGTTAATGACGCAGTAGCTCAGCCACACCGGAGCGTGCTCACTTCCTCTGGCATGAACACAACACAGCATACTTGGTCTTCACTCTACAGGTTTGCTGGGCTTTTACAAACCACTGTAATCCAAGCAGGCGATTGGTGAGCATCCCTTTGGACAGCAACAGGCTCTGAAAGTTTCTTTAAACACAGTTCATGTATGCACAGATGCAAGGTGAGAATCATTCACATGTTAACTAAAAGCAACATTTATAGCAGCAAACTGAGAAGAGCTCTTCAGAGGAACCAAACTGAAGAACTAAGAAGCGAGGAGAAGCTTCGATATAATATATGTGTTAGTGAGCCATGTCTTCTGAACATGAAATGTACATGTAATTCCCTGGCCCCGGGTCAGGCCTTTGGAATACAGTCTGTAGACAGATGGAGACATCCACATCAACACGGTATTGCAACGTACTTTCCTAAGATGCTCTGACTCTTACCTGAACAACAGAAGAGGATTAAGACTGATACTCCAAACATCAACAACAAAAAATAAAACCATCCACTTTTTTCCGCAGAGTGGAAACGTGTTGGATTTGTAAAGAACTAGGCCACACTGAGGTGCTTCAAACCAAATCTGAGTCCAGATGAATGGGACCTGGATCTGAAGTGCAAAGTCCTGCCGTGGTTACAGGTGTACTTTTAAAATGATCCCCGATGTGTGGAGACTAAAAGTAGATCAAATGCAACCATCATTTTGTCTCATCACATGTAAATGATCAATATGTGAACGGCAGCCGACTACAACAGCTTCACGTTGACGAACGTTCTTCACCTTGTAAAGAACATGCTGATGTGTAGATGGGAGGCGTGTAGAGCTACGAGGGTTTGGACATTGCTTCCAGGAAGTCCTGATGTGGTAATTCAGTTTTCTTCACTTCTGTTTCTTGCTTTAAAAAACAGTGCTGTGCTTTCCCAGGCCCTCTTCCCTTTCCACACCGTCACTTCTCTCTCACCTACAACTGAGTTCAGGGGCAGCCATCGTTCTCCTCTTCCTCTTCAGAGTTCCCACAATATTCAGTTCTGTCACGTTTTTATCCATTTCGAGGAACAGCTCAGGGAAACAAAAAAAAATAAAAATAAAACAATCCAAGTCTATAATTCTCCGACGGCTACGATCGTGCCTCGACATTGACCTGAGGGTCCCAGCGGTGAAAGGAATCAGTAGGTGGGAAGAGATGAGGCAGAGGGCTGCAGGGAGCCAGAGGAGTTGGAGCGTCTCATGTGAGGGAGGAGGTAGGAGTCCGAGCACAGCTGGTGAACGTCGAACCGATCCTCCTTACGATAGGCCAGACAGCGGCGGATGAATGCCTGAAAACACAACAAAGGTTTTATGAGAACAACACAGGAGATGTTCCAAACTCTGTTCTTTGTGGCAAAACAATAAAGTTTCTATAATTCAAACAGCTGAACTTTAACAGTCAACAAAAGCTATTAATTAAAAACACCAATACTTAAATTATAAACCATTTTTCAATTAATTTCAAAAAATTATTCATTTCATTAAAAAATGCTATATACAATAATAAAAAAATAAATCAAAACCAAAAAATATATACAAATCAAAATTAAATGAAAGGTAGCAGAAGAATAAATCTTATTTTGTCTGCCCCTTTTCGACCCAGAATATATTCAAACGAAATATAAATTACAAAACAATACTAAATAAAATAAAATAATTAAATAAAAACATAAAATCATCAACTCAAACAACAAATCAAATAACTTCACATTTTGCTTTTCAAATATCTTCAAAAAACTTGCCTTTATCCATCTATTAAATATATATATTGATCTGGCATTTTTACGATCTTCCAGACCATTCCATAATCCTATTCCTTGGATTAAAGTACATCTTTCTTTCAAGCAAGTACGAAAATATGGCATCACAAACATTTCCATCCCCTTTAGATAATAACAACTGTCTCTTTTAACAAAGTTTACCTGAATGTTGGAAGGTAATATGTTTGTGAGCCTTGTACATAAACAGCAAAATATTGTAGTCAATCAACTCATAGAATTTCAAAATTTTCAGTTTACAAAATAATTTACTGCTTGACCCAGAAAAAAATAAAAAGAATGCTACAAGACAAAAAAATGTCAATTTTAAAGACATTTTGTTAAATGTTTCATATCAAGGGTGAATTCTGAACAAGAAAACAAATGCTCTAACAGATAAATGGATGTCAGGATGGGTCGAGTCTTGAGGAGGTAGGAATGTTAAACTATGAAGCAGAGAGTGGACGTTTTCAGCTCCAGTTTGCACTGAAGTGATCCTGCTGATGTAATAAAAGTTATCAGTGACCAGCTGAGGGGACCGGACTAACTCCATAGTTAAAAAATGATGCACAGGAGGAAAACCATCGAGAACTTCACTTATTTTGAGAAAATGCTCATCGTTATTATTATACACGAGTAAACCATGGAAAAAAATGATCACAGCCATGCATTGAGTTATATATTATACAATATGTGTGTAGATATTTAAATGTATTACCACCATTTTACCTTACTAGTGGTGATCATATATTTCAAAATAAAAGCCTCATTCAATACGGTTAATACAAAACATTAAACTGTTGCGAGGTCATGGTGTCTAGGATGTGTACACGTCTAAACAAGATGTACTGTATACTTTCTAGGAAGTTTAGGTGGCTGAAGCAGCAAGCTATAAATCTTATAATACTGTGTGCACACATCTGTGTTGTCACCTTGGCCTCTGTGCTGGCCTGTGGTTTAGCTGGAAACTGGACCTCTGTGGCCTTGAGGATGGTGTTTTCCTGAAGGATGTCCTGCTGCGACTGATTATGGCCAAATGGCTGTAAAAACAGAAAACAGAATATTTAATCAGACATATTTTAACAACGGATTTAAAAACCAAACTACACCGTGTGCAGTGCAGAGGTGCACCTTGCGTCCATAGAGACACTGGAAGAAGATTACTCCCACAGACCAGACGTCCACTTTGTTAGAGATTTTAGGTGGTTCCTTCCCCACGACAAAACATTCTGGTGGGAGATACCTGAGCACACACACACACACACACATTAATGGTTCACAAGAAGAAATAATTCAATTGTTTTATTAACTACAGGTTAGATGAGGATTTGGGTGGCTCACCAGTAGGTGCCTGCCCCTTGTGATGTCAGGTCCATCCCATCCACGCCATAGTTGTCGTCATCCATTATCTTCGACAGACCAAAGTCTGTGATTTTGATCTCACCACATGCTGTCCCATCCACCAATAAGATGTTACCTGTGCAGAACACGGACAGAAAGAGTCAGGGTTTGACAAAAAGATGGACTCAAGATGGTCTGCCTTCTAATAATCTGCATGTATCCACCTGGTTTGAGGTCATAGTGGATGATGGGGGGTTTGATTTCGTTGAGGTAACGCAGGGCGCTGACAATCTGCATGACGATGGAGCGAGCCTCTTTCTCCGACATCAGCTTATTTTGCTTCAAGTAGAAGTCCAAGTCGTTTCCTTCACAGAACTCAAGGACTGTGCAGAATCTGATGACGAGAGGCATGTATACATGCACAGTTTGATCCAGGAGAGACATGTCATCCAGGAGTTATAAAGTGTACGTTTCAGAGCTGTGAAGACTGTCAGTGGATAAGCATGTGATACAGTTTGGTCATGCCACTCTTCACTCATTTTATGACCTTCTATGCTCAGAGTTGCAAGACTCTTTGCAAATTAAAAAAAAATTAAAAAATTCTGTCTGACATTCATGTCCATTCAACAGCCTGCGAAGTAAAGTTTATGATAAGCAGTAAGCTAAATAAACCATTTACCACCTTTAGTATTCAGTAGAGTCTATAACTGTAGTATTCTGTGAACGTTTAACAGAAGAAAATTAACTTATGATTTTTATTTAGCATTGTGAACAAAGGTATGAACTTGTTATGGCCTGAGGTCATTTAGTCTGTATAACACTGTGCAGGTGCAGGTTTGTGGTTTTCTGGCCCATGTTTGGGATTGACTGGACTCTTGACTCCTCCTGATAAACACAGATTGCCCATAGAGAGGACAACCCAATACCTGCAAGTCCAACCAGGAACCCAGGCTTTGTTTTGTGAACTTTTCCAGCTCAGGAATGTGTCCATGTAGCATCAAGCTAACAGGAATCATGATTTCTGGTCTGATTTGATTTTGTCCTTAGTCCACATATTCTTTGGTAGTTGGCAAGAAACTGCATTGAGACAGCCTTAGATTTAAGATGATAATCTTGGTATAATCCCAATCTTACTAGTGGAAGTGGCCATGCTTAAGTGGAGAGATATAGAGGTGATCATGTGGGTGATCGTCACAAGGTTACATAACCTCTATAGGTTTTAACTTTCCCTCCCCCATAAGCAGGTCATGGACAGGACTTTCTGCTCCTGGATGACTCGAGCTCATGTTCTGTTATATCAGCTGCTCAGCTTGAGCTTTATGCTCAGATTTAATAACCTCAACTTTACAAATACTTTGTATGTTCATACGTGGAAAGTATAATTAGCAGACAGAAGTTTGTTTGGTTCTGAGCAAGTAACAAAGACAAGTTGTTCCGTCTGATTATTTGTTCTGGACTTTTAGTAAAAGTTTAATGTGCAAAGCTGTTTAAACCAACTCCTCACATATTTTATACCAGCCTGGTGAGAAGCACCACCTCAGGATGTGTGAGCATAGCTGGGCTGCAGCTAGCAGAGGTCAGAGGTCACTCACGTGTCAGTATCCAGGGAGAAATAGTCATACAGTTTGACTATTCTGGGATGGTCCAGCTGCTTGTGTATCCGGTACTCCCTGCATGCATGCCTAGGAAGGAAGAGGAGTCAGTGGGTGCAACAAGAGAAGTGTTTGTCTTTCTCAAGTCTTTATATGTGCTTGCATGTGTGGTGATCGGGACACAAATATGTGTTGGTTTTTAACTGCCAAATCCCAAAATAAAAGCTCAGTGCAACCCTAAAGCTGTGTGGGTGTCCACTGTGGAAAGGGCCAGTCATTAGCTGGTTTTCTGTTCGGCTCCACCCCACTCCACACCAGTTTTTGGTCTTTCCATTATTGGCACCCACCCCCCGTCGGCCTGCTTTTTGGAACTAGTTAGCAGCTAGCTTGTTAGTGGCTACCGCTAGTTAGCAATCCAGGCTAAAAATAACACCCCCAGCTCCACGTTTAATGTAATTTGTTATTAATGTTGACTGTATTCGAGGCTAATTGTTGGTTTTCTGTTCAGAGTCACCTTCGACAAGTGACCAGCTGAGCTCCTCGACCGGTTCTCCACCTTCTCCGACATCGACCGGTACCGGCTGCCTCGTTATTTAGGTCGAAGAAACCAGGGACTGGGCAGCTACGAGAGCTGCTCCTGTTACATTCACACTTTAAAGTAGTTTTTGAGGTGGTTGTGTGTGTTTTCTTTAATGTAGTTATATATTGTCTGACTTTTATTTTGTGCAATAAAGATACCATCGGTGTTGCTGTTTGTTTTTCATTGAGTTAAATATGTATGGGGGAAAAAACAACATATTTACTCACAGTCCTAGGCATAAAGTGTGCAGTAAGTTCATTCATAAGAATATCATTTTGGTTTTGTTTTACTGCATTGATAAGTAACTGTTTGCTGTAGAAGTAGTTACAGACTAAATATCAGACTTTTTTATGGTCAATAGATAACTAGCACAGAAGAATGATAAACAGCAGCTTCTGTGCCTCTATCTCAATTATACCACCCACTTTTAAAAGATGTTACCGCCCACAGAGCGGGGACACTAGTTGCAGTGGAAAATCACCCACACCCGAGTAGAACCGAGTGGAGCCGCACCGTGCAATGGAAAAACGGCTGATATCGTGTGTATCTTGGTGTGTAGGTGAGGCTTACTTGTGGTAGTTTTCCTTCTTCTCCTCTCTCCAGTTCTTGTTGAGCTGGTGGATTTTAACAGCTGCATAGCGCTGCTCAAACAGGTCGAAAGCCTGTACATGACAGGTGGAAAATAAAAACAGACATTCTGTCTTCATACAGTCTTTTACACAAACAAACTGTATGAAGATAAATCCAGCAGACGATACCTTGTAGACTTCACTGAAGCCACCTCTGCCCAGCAGGTGCAGCAGCAGGTACCTCTCATTCAGAGTCGGGTGGTCTTTAAACCTGACGGGAACATGGTCATCTGGTCAAACAAGTTCTCTCTAATTTTAAAAGACAGTTGTTTAGTTTGTCTCCATTTTCTCAGCCAAACAATATCTGTTGCTGTGTGCCACTCTGTCCACGCAATGTTTGTCTGGTGTGTCCAGCTGCTGATCTGCTCAGGCAGATACTTGTTCCGTCTCTGTATCTGACTCAGATCGTTTTTCCACTTCAGGAGTAGAATGTGAATTCAACTTTTGCAAATTTATACTGTCTTGTTCTTATTTAAGGGCTGGTAAACCTCATGTTGTAGCTGATCAACCACACTGGACAGACACTAATAACATAGGGAGGGATGCATCACAGATATTTAATGTTAAAACAAAAACTGTCCTATGAGCCAAGTTGTAAAAAAATGATGTAGCATCTCCTCAACTTCTAACAAAACTTTGACATTAGGAGTTATTTGCAGTTGTTTATTCTGTTCTGAATAGTCTGAGTTTTTCTCCCTGATTCTCCAACTACTGACTGCTGAAAGCACTCCCAACATTATTCACTATTATTAACTGAATTTTATCATTATTATAATCTATTATTATTATCACTACTACTACTACTACTACTACTACTACTACTACTACTACTACTACTACTACTACTAC